GGCCGCTCTACCTCCAGCAACTCGGATTCTTTCCGTTGGTTGAAAAGTCATAGGTTACAGAGCAGATGCGCAAAGCATATGGCCGGAGAAGACCTTGTGTTAACCTCTCAGATGGAGAGGAAAATAACCATTGACACGAGGGTTCTGTTTATTTATGATCCCAGCGAGCGGTGTAGCATGTAGAATTATTAGCGGTCTAATGTTTTCACACTTGCTTTGCAGGCCTATATAAACTGGATCGAGAAGAATGGTGAGGCCACTCTGCCTGCCCTTGGAATGACCAATCATCAGCTGTTTTTTGTGGGATTTGCTCAGGTTTGTGCCAATATTTGCTTACTATGTTACACTTGTTTTTGACTTGTTTTAAAGAATTTAGTTGTTTTACTGGTCACAACCTTTGCAAATGAAAGGTGTCTCTGTTATTTGTCTCGGTTTTTGATCTGTTTGCTAAGGCAAGAATCAATATTACTTGATTTATCATTTACCTTGGATGTGGATTGTTGAAGAGAGGTGTGGTTATACTATTACTTGGACTCACATTTTTCGCCTGGCAGACACAAAAATAATAATAATAATAATAATAGTAATAATAAAAATCCTGATATATTTAAAAAATGGGACCCCTACTATAGGAACCAGATTTCCGTTGTGACTTAAGAGTGAGCTGTTTTATTTAATGAAAACTAAAATGAAAACATCAACTATTCTAAAATGCATTTAAAATAAAATACATTTTCATGACTTAAACTATCTAAAAAAAATCAATTATCTAAAAAAAAATGCTACATTTATTTTATTTTAGCCAAAAAATATTTCATTGTAGTTTTTGATAATATTTCAGACTTGTGATAAAGATAAAATTGCAACTAGATTGAAATAACTAGACTGTTATCTGTATAACAAATTAATAAATAGCTGGGGGAAAAAAATCTAAAATACATTTAAACTAAAATAATTTACGACACAAAATGTCTTGTAAGTTTTTTTTTAAGATATTTTATTTTATTTTTTGATACACTGTATAGCAAAAATGTATTTAGATTGCACTAACTTGACTGTTAACTGTAAAAAAAAACAACGAAATAAATAAACAAATAGATAAATAGCGAAACATAACTGGGAAAAAGTTCAAATATATTTAAACTAAAATACATTTTCATGACTCAAACTATCTAAAAAAAATAATAACCCATTAAGTATTTGTTTATATTGTATATTATAATACTTCAAACCTTTACAACCTGCCTGTGTTAAACATATAAAAATGCAATGAGATAGCAATAACTAGACTGTACCGAGAAATTTATCAGCGTTAAACATTTTTAACTGATACCAGTTAGTCAATAACCTTTCCGGCCCTAAAATACTAAAACTAGAAAAAAACTGAAACTAGAAAGCCTTAAAAAAAAAAACTAACACTGATGGAGTGTAAACTAACAAAATTAAGACTAAACTGAAAGATAAAATAGAAATAAAAACTGTAAAATGTAAAAAAAAAAATTGATACTAATTCCCACAAAACCATAGAATCAGGGTAATGACTTTTGCACAGACAAGCACCACTCACCACTTCTTCAAAAATGTAATAATCTAGTTTTGTCCTATTTTCATCTAACAAAACACTTTGTTTCCTTTTTTTGTAGGTGTGGTGCTCAGTTCGGACACTTGAAAGCTCTCACGAGGGCGTTATTACTGACCCCCACAGTCCGTCACGTTTCCGGGTCATTGGCACCATCTCCAATTCCCATGAGTTCTCTACACACTTTGGCTGCAAGGCAGACTCACCCATGAACCCCAAACGGAAGTGTGAGCTGTGGTGACAGTGACTCTGTCACTGTATGGGGGACCGAATCTGGAGCCGTTATCGCTCAAAAATCCCAAACATCCATCTCAGGTTGTCTAATCTAGACTGCCAAAAAGCTGGTGGATTTATAGTGGACGACATATTTTCCAGCTATTACTTACCTCTTAATGGGGAATTGGTGTAAATAGGGACTCCAAGGAAGTCTATATAATGGAGTTTTGTTCTTATAAACATTCAAAACACTGGAAGTTAGTGGTTAAATATAATGAGAGAAGGAATTCTCCTTTCTGCAAATGTTTTCTTTGAATGTGTGCCTTTTTAGCAAATGCTTTTATTTTTCTAATAGGAAATAATATTTAAGTTATCTGTATTACATTGTTGGTGGGATTTGTGTTTTTTTTGTCTGTAATATTTGTCAATTCTTGCACAACACATTGTGCAAGAATAATACATGGTTGACAAGTTTTATAAGACTGTTCCATCACTTCTTATTTGTTGAATTTGCCTGTACAATATGAACTTGAACTCAGGCAAATAATTTTATTTTCTCAACTCACAATGTCGCATGTGGTCCAATATGTAGTTGGACCACTAAACAAGAAAGTGCCTTTAAAACTATGCAAATATGGGAATTGCTGGGAAAATATTTTTATTACACACAGATTCAAACTGCCCTTCTGCCCTCAAAATAAATAGGAAATATAGGTAACACTTCAGAATAAGGTTTCATTTGTTAACATTAGTTAACATTAATAAACAGTTAATGTTAACGCCACCTTGTTAAACTTTTGGTATTCCCAGTCAAAAATGGCCGGCCTACAAAAAATTGCTTGTAAATTTCTCATAATGCTATTACATTGCCAAATATTGGATTCAATCAATTTATCAACCTGTTTTCTTTCAGTTAGCACAGGTTTTGTATTTGATTTTAGAAATGATTGCTCAGCCTCATTGATCTGATCTTATTCATCTCAGTCAACTGAATATTGTCTAAATTTATCCACAAATAATGCTTTTTTTTCCACTCAAAAACTGATGTGCAGAACACCGAGGCCAACGATCAGTCAGTTCCAAAAATGAAATACAAACCCTGTGCTAACTGAAAGCAAGTTGGAAAAAAAAGTGAATCCAAGATTTGGTGGTGATAAAGCATAAGGACAAATTTACAAGCAATTTTTAAAAGGTCATTTTGACTGGGAACATTAAAATATTTATGTTTTTCAGCACAGCACAAGAGTTAATATTTATATCGCTTATTGTTAGTTTATTAACTGATGTTAACAAATAGCAATCGCTGTAATTTTCATTGATGATTGATTCAACAGTAATTTTGTGGTTTATAATTTGGCTCTCCGTCTCCTGGAAGTATGACCGACAGATGTCGCCACATTCACATATATTAATGGCAACAGAAATGCCAAATCAAAAAGCAAGCTAATGTTCTTATCAGGCTCCTACCATCTAACCCCAAAAATACATACTTCACACCATAGGCAAACGTATATATCCTATTCGATATTCTATTTTATTTGAGCCTTTCTCAAACGTAAGTAAAATTTGAAGTAGTCTTTTTACTGCAACCAAAATTTGGGCGGGACCCCTAAGGTGAAACTGCAGTTTTATGTTTAGTTATAATACATTGCGTATTATAACTCATTCGTCTCTTACACTGATTATGGATGGCTTGGAATGTAACTGAGATGCCATTCATTGTGTGAAACAGTGCAGGCATGTGGGGACTGCCTTTATGACGTCACTTTCAATGGCATATTGCGATGTGCGATTCGTAAACGAATCGTTCTTTTTAGATCTTGTCAATGAACCGGTTCACAAAACCGGCCTGAATGATTCAATCACAGATCGAACTGAATCGTGGTTCTCGAGTCAACAACTCACCGACTCTTAAGAACTGAAATAACACATAAAATATACTGGAAATATGTTTATGTCTGGACGGTTTTACAGTTTTAGCAACATACATAATGAATAAATATAATGTTGTTGTTTTTTTTACAAACAAATAGTTGCATATTTATTTTTCATTCAAGATATGTGACTCTGGACCACAAAACCAGTCATAAGTAGCACCGGTATATTTGTAGCAAGCCAACAATACATTGTATGGGTCAAAATGATCGATTTTTCTTTTATGCCAAAAATCATTAGGATATTAAGTAAAGATCATGTTCCATGACGATATTTTGTAAATTTCCTACCGTAAATATATTAAAACTTAATTTTTAAGTTACATTCATTGCTAAGAACGTCATTTGGACAACTTTAAATGCAATATTCTCAGTATTTTTATTTTATTTATTTTTTTTGCACCCTCAGATTCCAGATATTCATATAGTTGTATCTCAGCCAAATATTGTCCGATCCTAACAAACCATACTTCAATAGAAATCAGAATCAGAATGAACTTTATTGCCAGTTATGTTTACACATACGAGGAATTTGTTTTAGTGACAGAAGCTCCACAGTGCAACAGAATGACAGTGACAAGACGCAACACAGATAATAAAAAAAGAATAATATACAAAATAGACTGTGCAAAATAGCAAAAACACAATATACAAAATAAACAATTTAGTATGTACAGGTATGTTAGGTGCAAATTTGAAATGTAAATAAGTATGTGTGTTAAATAAATAAATGTATAATAGTGTTGGGTGTTCCATGTTTATTGTCAAGTGTTCATGAGATGGATTGCCTGAGGGAAGAAACTGTTCCTGTGTCTGGCCGTTCTGGTGCGCAGTACTAACGTCGACCAGACGGCAAAGAGAGCTTATTTATTCAGCTTTCAGATGATGTATAAATCTCAAATTTTTTTTTATTGACCCTTACGACTGGTTTTGTGGTCCATGGTCACATATGTTCATGAAGTTTAGTACTGTTTATTGTAAATGCACGGTTCTAAATTACTAGTTTTAATGATAATCTTTTTATTGCATAAACATTAACAGTATACATGCATTTCCGTTCTTAATAATAATAATATAAAAATAATTAAATAATAAAAACGGGTGTAAAAGATCACATAAACTTTGAAGCTCTCTGTCAGGGACGACGTGAGGTGGCAATTACGTCACGACGTTAAATAACCACTGAATCGTTTTACGAACCGCATCTTTGAAGCGAACTGTTCGAAAGAACCGATTCCTGGAAGTGTGTCGGACTTCCCATCAATACGAAGTGGCGTAAAGTTAACCCGAGCATCTCCGAACTCACCCGAGGTTTACCGAGCCGTCCGTCCAGCCGGACTGCTGGAAGCAGCCGCAACAACGCCATGTTGAATGAAGTCTCCCATCTTTATGAGAAATTCATATAATGCGACTCGCTAATGTGATGTTACTACGCAAAGCGGAGCAAACAAACCGGGAGACGGCCATCTGAGGAGGCGGAGAAGAACAATTCGACCGGGGAGATCCAGGGTGGCTGGAGGGGGATACAAACCCCCTACCGTCCCCATGCATAGAGCAGCTACAATCCCCGACTTCAAAGATAAAATGACATTTTGGTACTAACAGCCAGATCTGAATGAAATCCATGGCATAAGGATATACACACGTTCCGGCCTTCGTAGAGAGAAGAAACGGCCAGATATTGTTGGAACGTGCGATCGATTTCAGCTGCGTATTGTTTGTTTTGGTTTAAATTTCTGCAATGAGTTTGCCACCGAAAGTGGTCCAGAAACCGGTCGCTGTCGCTGTTAGTGGACACGTAACCGGACCGGCACCGCCAACGCAACTCCGCGCAGCGCTGACCTCCGTGTCGTTACCACCGGGAGCCCAGAGCGTTCCTCCGCCGTCAGCCGTGCCGCCTACCCAGTATCCTTCACTAATAACAAAGCCCCTTGTGTCCCACAGCACACATCAATGGGGGAACGAATGGGGATTGCGCTTTGTGATCACATCACCTGACTTGTTTACCTGATTATGATGATGAAATTACTAATATAAGATGGCATTACTTCGTATTAATATAACAACCGTTACCAGGGTGGTCAGGGGTGTGCATCGATTACATCGAAGAGATTCTTTGGTATCTGCTGTTGTTTGCTGGTCCTCTTGCTTTCTTAATTGAACTTGACAATCCCAGTTTTGTGCACAGGGTCTGTTCAGGTTCAGATCACTCACAATCTGTGCATGTTTGTATTAGTTACCTGCTGCATTTTGTAGGTTTATGATTAAAGGCTTTTTCTAAGGAACTTGTGAGATATGGCCTTTGAGAGACCCCAGAATGGCATTTGTACAGTTGCTAGGGTGTTGTTTCTGGTTGCTAGGGCAGGAATAGGAAGTTGCTATGGTGTTATGAATGGCTACATGTTGGCTTGAGCCAAATACGCTCAACTGCAAGTTTATAAAATATTATTTTCTGGAGATATGATCCATTTGCAGTGTGAGTTTATGGGATTTGTCGTCTGTTTATCCATCCGACAGGCAAACCGCTACACCTGTGTGAACTTGAGGGACATTGACTTCATATGTGCGTGCTACTATCACTTTGGGACGAGCTGGTTAAAATTAGTTGCAAAAAAAATGGTTCAGAAAAGAGGTTAGTTTAGAGAAAGTCTAGTGTTATTTGTTTACACATGCTGATCTTATTATCTAGCCTAAGACATTCATACATTAAATGTGGCTTGATTACACTATTATTTTTTTAAATATTTGGTAGGGATGCACCGATACCACTTTTTCCAGTACTCGCCCGATACCGATACTTTTATTTTTGGTACTTGCCGATACCGAGTACCGATACCAATATTTTCATTGCATTTGTAAATTTTTTAAATATTGGGTACAGAAACCAAAAGAGTATGTATAATGTTAGTTGGTTAACTTCATTTATCAAATAGATACAGTCAAACCAAAATTTATTCAGACACCTTCAACATTTCTCACATTATCACAGTTTATTCGCTAT